CTAATCTTGCTCTAGATAGTCAGCTACTGCTAGGGATTTAACTCATTCTTCCTCTGAAAGCAGAGTTAACAGTTTTAAGAAGTTCTAAGTTTTATGGGTTAAAAGTGCTATTAACAAAGTCCAGTTTAAAGTACTGCCCTGCTCAAGTTTTACTTTGTATGACCAAGTGTGCACAGGCTAAATCATGAGATGGGAAGAGCCACATTTCTCATAAATAAAAACCATATTAGAAGTTATGGCTTGCTTTAAAAATTATTGAGCTGTGGTTTGTTAATTCTCTAATTTCTAGAACATGTACAGCAATCTGTCCTTAAATGAAGGAATCCAGACTTTTTAATCTTGCAGATATACAGCAGGATGCCATTTGCAAAATAAGTCCAGTGCTGGGAACAATATTCACAGTAAACTCAAATGTACACAGCTTCAAGTGGAGAAGTGTGAGGGGAAAATAACCTTTCCCTTCCTCCCCCCTCTCCCCCTTTTAATTCTGACATTGATTGGGAACTACTGTGAGTTCAGCACACATCTTCTGTGTCCCCCCTCTGCCATGTGGAAAGTTGTTGTGCCATCATTTGGTACCGTGCTTGGTATTTGTGCCCCGCAGTTTTACAGTGGGAATGTTCCCTGTTACTTTTGGTGTGTGTTATTTCTGGATGGGGTCCATAACCAGCCTATGAGAAAACATCAATTTATTAGTTCCATTTTCCAAGCTAAGTATGAAACACTCTACAGACTTTTTTTTTTTTTTTTAAATGCACGTGTAAGCAACCTCTTTCTCCAATAAAAATACTACTCATTTTGATAATGGGAAGACAGGTAGGTAGTAAATTGTGCAGGATTTTGCTCAAAGCTGTTGTCGTAATTGAACTGTTACAGGAGCATTACTCCCTCTTGTTACTCCCTTGTCCAAGTTTTGAAAAAGTTTATCTATATCTATACTTTCATACTTAAAAAAAACCAAAACAAAAAACCAACCCCAAACAAAAATCTATTTAAAAGTTATCTTGCCCTACTTGGTATTTTTTTTTTTTTCCAACATTTGTCTAGCAGTGCTATAGTGAAATTAGAAAGGTTTCAAGTAAGTGTCTTCAACAATGCTAGTATTTTTCATTACTCTGGAAATGTTATTTACGCTTATTTATTCCCTAAAGGTGGAGTGATGATAGTGCCATTGCATTTAAAATGCTACCATTTAGAACACTGGCCTGCTAATCATCAATACAAGTCCATGCTGCAACACGCTACTCCCCCAAGCCCCCCCACCCCAACAGAATAAGGCATGGCAAATGAACAAATGCCTAATGCACTGAAAAGGATGAAAATGTTGCAGATTACTAGGTATAACAACTGACTTGCAGTAGTTCCTTCTCACTAACTCTCCAAATTTAAATTTAGTTATAATGCAGACCTAACACAGTGACTATTTAATCTCTGGTGGTTCATCACAGTTGCTTGCATCAGACAACCGCATGCAGGAGTTAGTTACCTGGTGTGGAAATGAAGCAATTTTGTTTTAAGATGTACCAACATGTACATCTTAATGCTTTTTATTATTAATCGACTTATCTATCTAAAAAAAAAACCAAAACAAAAGAAACATTTTTCAGCAGTTGATTTTACTCTGCCAAGTTTATATAAAATTGAAGTGTGGTCTGCTTTTATTTAAATTCACTTCTTAGTTTTCAATTACTACAGAAGAATGCTTACACAAAACCACCGTTACTATTCACGGATGTATTTAATTTTTCTTAGAAAAGCACGTTAGCCCTAAACTTAACCTAATCAACACTTCCTCCTTGGCCATTACACATTTCACTGATCTTTGATAAAGCTGCACAGAAATACCTGTTTTTATTTCTCTAGGCAGCAATTTATCTGACTGCAATGGCTAAACTGAAGGCACGGGAAATATTTTCTAGTGAAATAGAAAAATTCACTGCTAGGCCACTGGAGATAAGTCTACCTCCCAAACCCACACAAACACTCTACCACAGTAAACCCACGCCTTTTTACTGCCTGAGCTTAATCTAGCTTTGTGTCCAGTCAGAGGTGGGCCATGTTTAGTTCATGTTTAGCTTGGTTCTAATTTATTTGCTGATCCAGTAACTATCAAGAGGTATTTTCTGTCATTTATAACAGCCATGCAATGACTACTATAGTTGCTGTGCCTTTGTATTTTAAAATGTAGAAATCAAAATAAATTTAAACATACTGCTTCCTCTAAAAACTTTCTGAGAAGAAGACACGGAACATATACAGAAGAAAATACCTTGAAGTTTTGTAAAAGCTCATTTTAAACATGCTGCTGCTTAAATCCAAAAATATTTTCAATACTTGAAGAATGGAAAATATCTGAAAATTTATGATACATATGGCCAGGTAAGTGCACATACTGCCCTTCTTGCACTACAGTAACAGACAACAACAAAATAATCTGCTAGTGTAGGTTATAAAGAAAGATTTGCTTACGTTTCCAAGAGAAAGCACTCACTGCACAGTTGACTTACAGGTTTTATTTACACTTGTCTACAGAGTCATTTTCCCTTACATTTTATCTAAGCCAAATGAAACCATAATTGTCCTTTGTCTGCAGTCTACCATTTGCTAAATTTAAAAACTTTCATCTGTTAAGTACAGCAGCAATTTTAATACAAAGAACAAGAAAAAAACTAAAGGCTAACAACATAGCATCTATTTGATCTGATTTTTACAATTTAGTCGTTGGACTTTGAAGTCGTCAGAGGCACAGTTACAAGACTAACCTGCTCTTGTGCAATCTACACACATTTAGCATTGAAATTAGATATAAAAGAAAGCATTAAAGAAGAAACTGCAGAGCATTTTTTTCTGCAAAAAGATTATCAAAATATTTCCACACCAAAAACATTTTGCTTATATACCAGTCCAAAACAAGTCTTAAAAAAAAAAAAAAAAAGCAGAATGTAGTTTTTAAATTTTGCTCCGTTTGTTTTTCTGCAGTTCATTTAATAAAAGCAGTGGTCAAATATGGGTTTGGAAGTTTTACTATTGAAATAAATGCAGATATATTGCTGTTTGCTTGCTTAAAAATAATAATTTTCCTTAACATACTTACCTTGTGATGGCACTGAAGATACTTAAACCTTTAACCAAACGGAGCTCAAGAGAGACCAAGTTTTAATGTGATATTGCTAGTAAAATAGATTCCATAAAGCATTTTAAGCCATAAATTACGTTTAAAGGAAAAAGAATGATTGATGAACACATTTAAGATGTCAGGACTTTCTACACAGTTTATTAATTCTAATTTTTAAATATAAATAAAATTCAGATACCTTGAAAATTTTAGTCAGCCCAAAATGAATTTTACAGATGGCCTGCAGAAGCTTCACTTGATTCCAAGAAGCTAGTTCCATATTCCTCCATCTCAAGAGTAGTTCCTAAATGATCCTTTTATAAGAAAGGATCGCAGAGTCCAGGGTCCACGCATGTGAAAATACCATAGGCAGTACCCACTGCAGAAAGGGCACTTCGCTGACCACAGCAAATAATTTCTAGTGACGGGCACCGGCAGCTATGAGACTCGAGCAATGGAGAGTATGGTGCCCAATGTCTCATGACACCCTCACTTCGAAGGAATGAAGTCTAATTCACTCTCTACAGAATCATATGATGGACTGGGTATTTAATAGCTATTTTGCACTGAGCATAGCTGAAGAGAAAGAGGGGCATCCATCTGTACTTTTACTTCAACACAGAAAAATAAAAAATAATTAGACCTAAGTCCTCACTACTGTCATCCATTGGGTAACACCAGCCCTACAGCTACACTAATTGTTTGTGGTCCCATATGAGCTACATCAAACAAGCCCAGGAATCGGATGCAGAAAGCTCATGGGTTCTTCCCATATTCCTCAGATACTTCTTTGTAATTGTCATGTGAAGAGCAGAGTTGTATCAGAACATATCCAACCTGCGCCTGCTCATACATGTAAGAGCCAGGAATCGAGTAACTGAGTCTTCAAAAAAAATAAAAAAAACCTTACTCAAATAATAAAACTGCACACCTGCTCTGGTGAGTTTATGGCTTAAAATGCTACCTCACTTTTTGTTTCATGAATGAACAAAGCTGCAGTTTTCCAGAAAGCAAGGACAGACATGCACCTCTACTAGCAGATTTAGCACTTCTGACCAAGTAAGACACCAACTTCTTAAAAATGTCTCATGCACTGACTGGATTTTTTTTTTTTTTTTAAATGTGAGCTTTAATACATTATTTCTTTTTAGAACTTGTACGGGAACCAGAATGGGAAGATCCAGATGATGATCTGCGGCGTCTGTAAGATATAAATGGAGAAAGCATGCAAAGAAATAAGTTGAAATTAATTTCAGCATCCACTTTGAGTAGTCTGTATCCTATAATAGCTGGAAGCCAAGTATAAGGGGCCTTATAAGAATATAGAAATAACTTTAAACCACTTTAAGCTCATGAATGTGAATTTAATCCTAAAAATGTAAGTTTAATACTGAAAGTAGAATACAATTTCTAAATGCAATATTTACTTATGAAAATAAATCAATAACGTACATGTTAACACTTTCACACACTGAAAGAATGGTGACTCAGGTCTTTCTAAGGAACATGCTCCTAGCAGCAGGAAGTTTCATGGGGGGGGGGGAAGGCAATTACAGAAGTTTTTATAGGAAGTAAGAGTAGGGGAAGTGAGAAAATTACTTTTAGTATCAGAATAACTGATCAGATTCAATTCTTTCCCAGTGAACCTCAGTCCTTCAGAAAAAAAAAAAAAAAATCACACATTTAAATACACCCATTCTTATTCTACATAAACCCAAACCTTTCGGGTGACCGTGATCTCGATCGTCTTTTTTTGCGATCACCAGATGAAGAAGATCTAGAACGACTTCGCTTCTTGCTTCTCTCAGGGGAAGATGATGAACGAGAGCTTGAGTAAGATCTTTTTCTTGGGGTGGAAGACCCCCTGTAGGACCTGGAGCTGGATCTTTATTGATTAAGAAATAAATCAGATTTAATTCTGGTATAATATAGAAAGAACAAAGAAAGAACAAAAAGAGACAGCATTCATGAACACTCACTACTCTATTTACATCAGTGTTTTATCAAATAAATTTGTGGATGCTTTAATACTTACTCCTTAGTTATCTGCCAATAAAGACATCTATTGCTGCAGTAGTTTTCTTAGTAAATTTTGCTAAATAGTGTTTCTTGATATACAGACCACCAATGGTTTGCAAACCTCTTTCCAGAATTCACCAGAATGATCCATTTTGACAAAGAAGCAATGGGAGACTGGGACAGGAAGTAGCCTATATAAGGACCTTCCTCAGTAGTTAAATTCACAAAGCAAAATGGCTTGAAAACCACAGATGTAATACTGATTGACAATGTTTCACTTCATATTAATGGATATTTCCCATTGGAAATTTGTAAAGCAATGTTCATCTTACTAGAACAGTAAAAACCCTCAGAAGGTATATTTACAAATCTCAAAATAAATTTGGGTAGAGAGTAAGACCTTCCACAACAAAAATATTTTAAAAAAACCTCTTAGGATACAGTCATTTTGGCACTATTAAAAAAAAAAAAAAAACCAGCTTCACTTACAAGCACTCAAAAATCACTTTGGTTATCTAAAAATCCCAAGAAAAAACACACTTGTGGAAAAAGTAATAGAGCTAGAAAGTCCTAAACTGTAATTCCAAAGTCATATAAAAACACCTAACAAGATTTTTTTTTTCAGTAAGCTGGATAAAACATTTAAAAAAACCCAAACAAAATACCACAGCATATGTTGTTGGTAAAATATTTTCAGGGTTCTCATTTGTAAATAACAAAGCAGTCCTATTTCACACAAGCTAATACACTGAGGACACTCGGTGGATGCTGTGTGGCACAAGCAAATAACCCAGCTCAGCTGACGAGTCACTTCAGCATCTAGTGGGGGCACAGGCACCCTTTTTCTTTTCCTACAAGCACGGATTCCATCTCACGCTGACCCTCACGTGATAATCCATAACATGTTTCTGCCACCAAAGGGCGGTGGCACCATTTGTGATTGGTCTTCCCAACTCATACTTCCTTATTTACAGTTTTAAGATTCTCTGCATGCATGGAGATGGGACAGTTCTTCATTCCATCGCAAAAGGAAATTCCTGCCAACAGGATGCCTGTGCAAGGACACCTCAAGGAACTTGCATGCTTTTGTTACTCTTCCCCGCACAGTTCAGTAACTGCTACACAGGAAACGTCAGCTAGCTCAAATTCCTGTCAGCTTCTTGCATGATTTACTATCAACATTTTTTATACATTTCCCCCACATTTATAAAAATAATGGCAGCACTATCTAGTGGAAGTTAGATAACGTTAAATAAGTTATCACTAAACACAAAACCGTAATATAGAATATTTTCTAATGTTCTTCCACATCAAGTAGCCAAAGTGGAAACAGTAAAACCAGCAAAAATTACTGAAGCAAGTAAACATGCATTCAAATTCTTCTTCCTTCAAAGTGAAGATCTGTGGCGTCCACTCGTCTAGCTTAGATCAGACTTAAACTCTTCAACCAAAACCTCGCATTCTCAAGAAATACATCTGTAGTGGTAACAACCTCGTGCAGAGACCCCAGGAATTCTGACTTCCAAGATAAAAATGAGTTAATGTTTTTTGACCGGCATAATTTTACGATGAAATCAACAAGCGGTTGGTTCTTCTGCCCTTTTTTCTCTCTGCAAGGAGAGAGTGCTACCTCATTCACCTTGATTTCGACCCACGAGATCTAGAGTGTTCTCTGGAACTGGAACGAGATCTTGATCTGGAACTGGAAGAACTTCTTGAATGGGACCTGAAACAACATGGAAGATTTTTTTCCAGTGTCTGACTTGTATTTAGCAGAATAACTACTACTGTTAGCAGTAGAGACAATGATGCATCAATACCATTTGGCCTAGAGTCACTAAAAAAGTGACAATTTCCTCCTATTTCCCCAGTATCACCTAGTACATTTTAAAACAAAAACTTTAACATAGTAAGATGGTGCATTAAAAAAATTTATAAAGTCAGCTTTTTATTATGTTTCCTAAAACAAAGCACAAAAGTTCAACAGGATTGCAGTTATCTGGCAAAATGAAACAACTGCGTATCTATTAAACTATTTCATGAAATCAATGCCTTAACTTTTAATTTGTGCCTTAACTTGAAAACCATCAGTTTCTTTGAAAAGCACAGTAGGTAAGGGTATTAGGACTAGCTAGCTCAAATTTTCCCCACGTCAGTTCTCACAAGCATTTTGTAAGCAGTTTCAAGTCTTTGTAAAGATTTTCCCCTGCATCAAAAATTAAGTAGTAGTTAATTGTTGGCTAAAATAAGGACATATCTAACACTGCTTGTAACTAGTCAAAATGATTTTCAAATTTTTCATGGTGATGGATTTTCTTTAAAGCACAAACCACAAAACATATGTAAAAATGGTAGCGGACTTGCAGTAACCATTGTAAAGAGAAGGCATTGCAATCAAATTCTAATAATCTTTTCAGGAAAAATATATTATATGTGCTGTCAGTCTCCCAGTTTATATTGTTACCACGTCTTTTTAATTTTACTGTGCAAACCAAAAGCAGTATGAACACATGCTAACTAGAAGATATATTTAAACCTTTTTAAAAAACACACAGAAGTAGCCACAAATGACAACTGTTATTTCCAATTAATTATCTGTAGCTAGAAGCAAAAAGTTCAACAGAAAGTTGAAAGATCCCTAGCAAATTTCAGTTATGACAAGCTACTTTTTACTTCACTGTTAACATTTGTGAATTAATGAATAAAGTTATGGCCAGATGAAGTTCTTCTGTGTTCTTTGACCTTCCCACCCCTAAACCTAAGAATTGCACTCAAATGCATCCCATACTGGCTGCATGCTATCCTCACACAGGACAATACAGCCGCTTCCTCAAAGATCTTGCTCCACACCTCACTTCATTTACAAAAATTGCTGACAGCCAGTAAGCTTAGTCACTATTATTCACTTAGTGCTCCTCCTTGGAAGCACGTGGCAAATACACATCTCAAGATGGCATTTGAAGGAGTGGGGAGGCTGACAATAGGTACTGTGAAGAACATAACAACTTTTTTCATAGAAAAGGCAGCATGAAAAAAAGCATGACAGCAATGGGAAGAAAGACAAAACAGAGACAGTGGCTGACATCTGGTTAGCATGAGGGTCTGAAGAATTTGGGCAGTGATCACAGCGGTGAGAGCAGAGAGGTGCAGTTACAAAGCTATGAAGATCAGAAGAAACTTGAACTTTACGTATATGAACTTTATGTATAACCCTATGAGCTAGTACCAATCTGAGGTCTCAAACCTATCAGTATCATCCTTGTATTAGTTGTAAGGCAAGTAAAAAGCTATATGATTTACCTCCCATGATTACATAACATTTATTGAATTGTTCATGTATTACTGAATTTAAATAATAATGTGAGGTCTTAAATCTACCCAGTAGACTTTTTTTGTGGCCCCATTACCAATATAAACCTTTAGTGTTATTCTGACAACATTGCCACTGCACTTAAAGCTTTGTCGTTTGCCACCAAACTAAGTTCAAGTTTCTTGTCTTTATTTCCAGGGTATTTTCCATTCTGTCCTTTCACTGAATCTGCCTGGACTGCATCATCACTGCCCTCTTCTGCCACCGCCTCCTACTTCAACAATACCACCCCCTTCTGCTTCTCTGTTCAACAGCTCTACTCAACATTGCTAAAAAAAGTTCACCCATTGAATCACATATGGCCAACAAGCCTAAAAATAAAAATTGAAAATAGGTTTTATTGTTAAATTTATTTGAAGGATTCAATTGAAATATGAACTTAAATTTACTAAAACAAGCAACAAGACATATGAAGCCTCCCTGCTGAGGATCCACAGAAGGTCAGAACAGAACATTATCTACCTGTGTAAATTCTATACATAAAATTGTTAACATTATTAAACTAAAACTGTAAGGCAATCAAGAAAAAAAAGTAAATAAAGAAGTTAGATACTGACATTTTGCCTGGCGTTACCCTTGACCTGTACCCGTTTACCTGGACCTAGACCTTGAGCTTGAATGAGAGGATGAGCGCGATGAAGATCGTGAGTGGGAAGATCGAGACTTAGAACGACTGCGCCTATTGGGTTTCTTTTTCTTATTAGTGTCCTCTTCTTCACTGGCATCAAGATTATATTTTGAAAGGTCAGCATCATCTTCATCCTCATCCTGAAAAAATGCAGATATACAAAAAATAAATAAAAGAAATATTTTGAATGTTTTCTTCAGTTAGTGTTTTTTACTTATTCTATGGTTTATTTTGTGCTTTTTTCCCAACCTTTGAAAATACTGTTGTTAGTGCATTTAATGAGATCCAAAAATTTTAAGAGTAAAGAGTGACTGAAAATTTGTGTTTCAAAGCAAACTATTAAAAAGCTGCAAAAAACCCATCTGAAGTCCCATTTTCTGTTATTTAATGAAGTTAATGAAAATACATACATTCATTTTTGCCAGTTACTTTAAATGAGTGCCTGGAAGAATTTTCAGACTCAAAATCTGTAACCATAGCATAATTCTGCAGAGACATGTTTCATATGCAGAATTTGGTGACTGCTGTGTTAAAAATAAGCGTATATGCATGCCTCTGCAGGACTGCTGTCCAAAGATGTGGACAATCCAATATGTGATCATAATGTATTTCAGGAAAGATGAAAAGAAAAAAATCTCTGAATATTTTATTCCATTTTATAAAAAATAAATCTGATGTGGTTTTAAAAGGCTACGAATAAAATTCAAGAACATTCCCTTTATACAGTAACCATACATAAAGGTTCCAAATAAAGATCTTAAAATTTTTTATTCTGATCTCAGATATGCTTTTAATTTTTCATGGTTTAAATAAATGATACATCTTTGAATACAGGTATTTAGAACAAAAGAGAGCTTGCGCACAGAAGCTGTAGGCACCATTATTCTCATAGCTACCCCTCTATATTGCTCTAAAGGCAGCTAAAAACACAGACCAAACATTATCTACTAAACAGCGCTGTAGTAATAATTAAAAAATAATTGCTGAAAAAGCTCAACACACACTACCTCATCCAATTTATATTTGGAGAGATCTTCATCCTCATCCTCCTCATCTTCCCCTTCAGATTCCTTATCTTCTACTTCCTTCAGGATAGATGCAGGACCAACCGGCTTCCCTCTATACTTTTTCTTTTTGCGTCCAAACTAAGAAATTTTATTCCATTAGAATAAGATTTAATCAAAAGTAATTTCCAACTGTATTTTTTGATAAAACTTCTGTGAGAAAATAAATATACATCAATTTCAAATAAAGTATTGCTCAAAGGGAAGGAGAAGTATCATGAAACATTAGTTAGCAACAACAAACTGTCTAAAGAGATGCTTGTCTTGGATACAATTAGTACCCCCAGATAAGATTTATGGAAATCTGAATTTAACAAAATAGTATTTTCTGTCTGTGTCTATGGGATATCTTTATAAAACAATGTTGAACATCTGTGTGAAAACAACATGAATGAACCTGAAGCCAGCTCCCTAAGAAATTTAACGAACTCAGCTTGTACCAGTTCAATATGAACTCATTCTTAGTTTTTAACCCCCAAAAAGACAAAACAGATGCATTCACTTTCAGTTCAAAACCTTAACGCTTGAGCATTTGACAAAGAGATAGATCACAATGTATTTCTGACTAGTGCTTTTCCCCCGTAAGGAAAGGAAATGCAAATATATGTATCCTAAACACAAATCACACAATACGCGTCTCTCCAGAGTAATACATACACTTAATCTTACCTCATCATACTCCCCATCTGATTCTTCGCGTTCTATATATTCAACATTCTCTCGTTCATTAAATCCTCCTCCGTATCCTTTAAAAAGGGGTAAAACCAGACAATCTCTTGAGCTGCACCAAATTCAGCTACATTAAGCACAAAGTTTAGAATAAACTTTCACAGAGCTTCTGGAAGCCTTCGGTGGATTTATAAATATACGCCATAAAAATGTAATATGATCTCAAGAGGAACATGAATTGTTCCCACACACGTTTATTAAATATAGTTCCTCAGAAACCTAATCAAGAAAATGGATTAAGACACATAAACAACACAGAAGTAATAGAGTTTAAAAGAATGGAAAAAAAAATTCAGGATTATAGCTGTGCTGAGCAACCAGTTTCCCAGAAGAGCTCTGGCAAGGCTGCAATGCCTGACAACTGCCTTGGTGTGGATAAACACAAGAATGTCTCCAAGGGGCTGGAATAAAGGCTACTGTCCTGGAAGACCAAAATCCCACCTCTGAGAGCAGCCAGTAGCCAACTCGGGAAAGCGGGCAATGAAACATAAGGGGAGGGCAACACTTGCGAACTGCTTTCCCAGCTGCTGGCGTTGCTGCAGCCTCTTTGCCACAGCCAGGTCCTACATGCATGGAGCCTCCTCGGTGGCTTCTGGGCATGCCAGTCTGCTCCCACATCGCAATTATTCTGTGACATAAAGTCATATATATATTCTCAGGGAGCAATAGGAATAAAAGCATCCTGTAGTTGCACTGAAATGTGCAACTGCCAAGATTTGCCTTAAGAATATTTCTATTCCTTTTTATAATGTGAGTGGAAAACTTCAACAGCTCATTTTAATTTCAGCTGACTTTGCAATTTACTGCAAGTGTGTGCAACATGCTAGGTGTCCTGCGCATGACAGCAAATTTACTCTGAAGGACACCAGAACTTGAAAAAATTAGTTAAATATTTTTTTTTAAAATTAAAAT